AAAGTAGTCTAAATTTGTAATAAAATGTGTAAATTCGTTTATAAGTGACTATGACATACTGACCTGCCCATGCCAAGGCTGCGAGTTTACTTCTTTCCAATGGCGGTAACCACACTGCCCACATAGCATGCATAGCTGGGAAAATGGTTCCCTTGACAACAACGAGAAAACAAAATATAATTACAATTTCAAAGTCAGTAAAAAGCCACATCTCAGTATTTGGTTAATTATTAGAAATGCTAGCAGTTATGATGTAAAATGAAATAATAATTTTCAAATAAAATAAAATAATTCCCATCATAAATTATAAAAAATATAATTTATATTAGCACAACAAAATACTTAAAACACACTTGATAATGGATATCTATCACCAATTTGTTTATCTGTCCTTTTAATGTGAATTTATGTTTATTGGTGATTCAAGACAATTTCAAAAAAAAAAAAAAAAAAAAACATCATGAATTTAATTCTGTCTGGCGGAAAATTATTTATAAAGTTGCATCCAAGTCAACTGGAATAAATTAAATAATTTACGTGGATTTATTATGTGAAACATGACAAATGTTTACTTTGTAGCTAAAAGGTTAAATACTGACATTTTATGTGTCAGAAAATTAAATTAAAATTGTATACAGAATTTAAAACTTTAAAAACATCAGATATTTGTAGTTATAATATTTGGAAATTGATATCACTTGATAGAAGGATAACAAATTTTAAAAAGGAGCATTTTCTTTTAGAAAACAATTCTTTTCCCAATTTAGCCATTCTGATTAAAATTAGAGTTGTCACAAAATGTACTGAATTGTCATGAAGTTCAAATGGAGTTCATGAGAGATGCATGACATTTGACCAGATTTCATTAATACTAAATATTCACAAAATTCCTACATCAAGCTCCTACGAAACATGACATGACATGAGTTACCAATGTCTTTTTTGTAAAATGATTTCCATATGTTCCCTATCAATATTTCAATATAATGTGATTAATTTTCAAAAAAAATATGGAAAGCTGAAAAATGAAATTGTTAATAACTAATTAGACCTTTGCATTATCTTAGAGTATATAAGTACTGAGATTCATTGAAATAAGATGATAAGTACTTGAGATATTGATGGAATAGTTGAAAATGAATGATTATTATGCGAATCCAGTAATTAATAGGCACAGATTTCAATAGAAAATTAATAAGGTCTACACAATGTCACAGATCACCAATGTACCAAGTTTTACTGAAATGTGATGATTAGTACTCGAAATATCGATGGAAAAGCAAAAAAATTATGAATTATTACACAAATTAGGTAATCAATATGAACAGATTTAAATCAAAACTAATTAGGTCTGTACATAATCCTAAGAGCATCACTGTACCAAGTTTCAGTAAAATGTAATGATTAGTACTTAAAATATCAGCAGAAAAGTTCAAAATTTACTAATTATGCAAAGTACATGTAGGTACTAAGTAATTGTTATGCACGTATATTAATCCAAAACTTAACAATGCACGAATGTTTGTTGTAATGTAAAAAAGTAAAAAAAATACTAATCATTATGCAAATTAGATAATTAATATGCATGGATTTTACGCAAAACTAGCCAGGTATGTGCATTGTCCCAGAGTATCTATGAACCAAGTTTCATCAAAATTCAATAATTGGTTCTGTAGATATCAGTGGAACAGTCATGAAACAGCTAGAAAATAGCTAATTATCATGTAAATTAGGTAATTAATATGTATGGGTTTAACCCAAAACTTAATCATATCTGTGCATTAGACCAGAGCATCTATGTATCAAGTTTCATCAAAAACGATCATATACACACTAACTGCACATGGGAGTCAAAAAACAAAAACACAGACAAGGAACAATTATAATTATAATAATAAATATGATTGATCGTCATAGCAACCTACCTCTCCCAATCCTTCAACAAACCTCAGCACAAACAACAAGCCCCAATGAAAGTTAGCACACACTGGAGTTAATAATGTGCAAACAGCAGTCAAAAACATACTGAATCCAAAGACCCATTTACCACCATATCTCTCTGCCAACCATCCTCCGGGTATTTGCGTCAATATGTAACCATAGAAAAAAGACGAAAGAAGCAGTCCTTGTGTCTTCTTCTCCCACAAAAAATGTCCTTCCTGAGACAAGAGACAGACATACATTCACATTTTACAATTATTTATGCATGTGAAATTTCTTGTTTGAAAGTTAATGACAACACAGATGTACTCAAATCAACCACAGATTAATAAAATCTGTAATCATTAAAACAAAATGGCTGCCAATCAGCCATTTTAAATTGGACCTGAAAAATAAAATGATGTGCATCAAGGTCCCATAATGTCCAATGTATGTACGAAGTTTGAAAAAAATCCATTCATAAATGCCTGATTTTGATGATTTTTTAGCACAAAAATATTCGGCCATCTTGAATCAGATCGTTAAACAAACTGATGTGCATATGGTGATAATTGGCTAAAATAACATTTTTGATCTACCACTGAAGTCCACTGTCACTACAGATGAACTGTAGTGTAATCAATTTCTCATAGAAACTCACTCAATTTACATATTTATATCATGTATTTAACTTCCTGTAAACTCACATTTTTGTCACGAGATGAGTTGGAATGTTGCATTACTTGACACTCGTCAATGTTGTCTATTTCAAGATTGGTGACATTGCCAGAGCTTGTAGCGTTTGAATATTGGTAAACTTCATTTTGCGAGATTTCTTTAACTGCGGTGTTGTTTACCATACAAACCATGCCCACGCTGAGGTTGATGCGTAAGGCATAAAGAAACAGGAACCCAAAAAACGCTAGTACCGCCAGACTGAGTCGAGCTGATGTCCAGAATGGAACTTGTAATGAAGAAAAGACAAAATAAGTAAGAGGTGAACCATGGTTGTGAAAGGATTAAGGGTCAAAGTTGACAAAGGAAGAGATAGGGTTAAAGTTGACAATGGCAGTGAACGGGTTGAAGATGGTGAGAAGTTAGGTCAAACTTGACAATAGTGTGAAATGATTGTGTCAAATTTTACCATGGTGCTTAGAGGGTTTAAAGTCAAAATTTACCATTTTGGGAAAAGGGTTAAAGTTCAAAGTTGACACCGGTGGTGAAAGGGTTAAGGGTTAAAGTTGACAATGGTTGTGGAATGGTTGGGTAATAATTTACTATGGTAGTAAAAGGGTTAAGGGTCAAAGATGACACTGGTGACGAGGAGTTAGGTCAAATTTGACACTGGTGGTAAAAGGGCTAAAGGGCAAAGTTGAAAATGACAGTGAAAGGGTTAAGGGTCAAAGTTGAAAATGGTTGTGGAATGGTTGGGTAATAATTTACTATGGTGGTAAAAGGGTTAAGGGTCAAAGATGACACTGGTGACGAGGAGTTAGGTCAAATTTGACACTGGTGGTAAAAAAGGCTAAAGGTCAAAGTTGACAATGGCAGTGAAAGGGTTAAGGGTCAAAGTTGAAAATGGCAGTGAAAGGGTTAAGGGTCAAATTTGACAATGTCAGTGAAAAGGTTAAGGGCCAAACTTGACAATGGCAGTGAAAGGGTTAAGGGTCAAAGTTGACACTGCAGGTGAAAGGGTTAAGGGTCAAAAGTTGGTAATGGCAGTGAAAGGGTTAGGGGTCAATAGTGAAAGATTTAAGGATCAAAGTTGACAAATGTAGTGAAAGGGTTAAGGGTCAAGGTTGACAATGGCAGTGAAAGAGTTAAGGGTCAAGGTTGACAATGGCAGTGAAAGGGTTAAGGGCCAAAGTTGAGGGTCAAGGTTGACACTGGTAGTGAAAGGGTTAAGGGCTAAATTTAACACTGGTGGTGAGAAGTTAGGTCAAAGTTGACATGGTGGTAAATGAGTTAAGGGTCAAAATTTACAATGGTTGTGGAATGGTTGTGTCAAAATTAACCATGGTAGTAAAAGGGTCAAAGTTGATGCTGGTAGTGAAAGGGTGACACTGGAAAGGATGATTGGGTCTAAATTTACCATGCTGGTGAAAAGGT